GACACATCTTGATCTTGAGTACAAGCTGTGTCGATGCTTCAGGAGCATCTTTGCAAGAAGTTACCCCCACTTAGGCAGAAGAGGTTTAGGAAGTTTAGGACCATTGCTGTGGAGCCGCGAAGCATCGCCTCCTGCGGAAGTCATGGCGATTGCGGCTTCTTGGCTATGTGAGCTTATTTAGAGGTTTAGAGGTTTGGGGTCGCTAGGGTTTAGCTGCTCTAAATTAAGATTCCACTCGAGACACCTCCTAGGAAAGGTCCTTAAGAAGCGATCAGAACTCGGACGACTCCTGCCGTGAAGACTTAAGGGCATGGTGAACGTTGGTTTGGTTTAGTACAGGGGCCGAAATAATTACCAATACTATGTTGGGTGCTCCTTAGTATAACTAGAGTATAATGGGCCCCAAAACCCTGTTCCAAGTATTAAGGCCCCTTATGTCAGCATTAAGTGACGGCTAAGGCCACTCTGAACCCTATATCCAAGGCCTACGTTCCTCAGAACCGTCCGAGCCTAGGCTTTGGGGTGTCTGGGTTCTTTCTTATCAGGTTGGTCCAGGTTAGAGATCTATAGCGAGAACGAGCGAGAGAGAGAGAGAGAGAGAGATATATATATATATACATATATATATATACATATATATATATATACACACGCACATACGTGCTTCCTTGATTGTGGTAACTCAAAGCAACTTCCTGCACAAACCCAGCAGCTCAAGATCTCAGGGTGTTGTGTTCCTTGCTCTCGCGGGCGTCGGTGGCTTTTTGTCGGCGACGGGGGCCAACATCCTTGCCTGGTCGACGCTGGCTTTCACTTCAGGAATCTGGCTTTTAGTGATTGATCTCAGGGTTTTGTCTGGGCTTTGTGTGATTTAACAGGCTTGTACAGGGTTTTGAGGAATTTATTCTGGGTCACGAGGAGAGGGTAAGCATAGCAGTAACGACATACGCCTATCACGCGAACGTAAGATAAAGCTCGCTAAACCCTAAACCCTAAAAGCTCAGGAGTTTCAGCACGCGAACGCTGGGCAAGCAGTGGACCAAGCTTCAATCAACCGGGTTTGTTGTCGCATCTTGGCTGGTACTGAAAACTGAACCCTAGACCCTAAACCGGTTGTGAAAAAGGTCCGGTTAAAAAAAAAACCGGTTGTTGGGGCTCCATAGGGTTGCAGGCTTGTAGGTTTGGGGACGTACGATTTAGGGGTTTTGGACTCTGTGGGGTTTAGGGTTGTGCCGGTTTTGAGGTCTTCGGTTTGGTGATGCCAGGAACCCAGACAGCACTCCGTATAGGCACACATTCTAACCTAGTTCGTGGGGACTCGTGTGGTGTTTATCGCATCGCAGGTGTTGCATCATGGGTCGACCAAAGTTCGGTGGACGATTTCCGGCAACTCACCGTAGATGCTCCGTACTTCCGAAGTGATATGGACACCCTTCAAAGAAGCAATATGGCGGCTCAATGTACGCCCGACGAAGTAACCCCAGAAGCAAAGGCCTGCATCGTCCTCAACGCGTCTGGAATTCTCCTCTTCGCCATGTCTACCGCTCTAGGAGGCTCTTGCGTTAAGAGTTCAGGCTTTTAGGCTTTGGGGCCAGCGCTTGAGGGAGGCCAGGTTCCCTGATGCCCACTCTTGCAGCTTGGAGGCTTAAACGGTTGGTTTGGGGGGTCATGAGCTGCTGTGTAGGATTTATGGGGATTGAGGCTGTGAGCAGAGTCTACTGCAGAGTTAGGGTTCAGGGGTTTAGGGTTCATGGTTGGGGGCCCTTCCGGTCTTTGACTTAGCAACCCGGTAGGTCACCTTGTCTCTCTGGTTCTTAGTAGGGAATGGGGGAATGGGTTATTGGGACTACTCTAAGGGACCTTAAGGGACTATCATAGGGATCCATTCCCCCATTCCCTACTAAGAACCAGAGAGGTTGTTTCAGTGTTTCCACGAGTCAGGCCTGCCTCGGCCGGGACACGCGGCAAGTGCTATTGGGGTGCACATTACTTGTAGTAACAACAGGACTAGTGCCGCCTCGTAGTCGTTATATAAAAGTAGGATGTTTATTTTCGTTACGGTGAGGACAAAGACGACTCCTTACACTTGGGGGGGGGACCAGCAGTGAAAACCCTATTTTCCGGGCTAGTTTCCAAAGCTGCGAGAAGTTACAAAACCCTTTTCTGCTTATCCAGCCTCCAAAAATGGAGAAACTGGCTCCGTGACAGGAGCACCCCTAAACCCCTAAACCCTAAACCCTACAATGGAAAGTCCATGCTTATGGAACCCTCAAGCCGTCGGCCCCAGAGCACTCAAGCCCCGAGAAAGCTCATCGCCTTCTCAGCTCTCCAACATCTCTAAGTTCCCTAAATCCCATAATCCTAAACCCCACACCCCTAAACCCCTCAACCCCTAAATCCTAAACCCCTCCTAAGCCCCTCAACCCCTAAACCCCAAGCAAGCTGAAATCTCTTCAGGTGCCGTGGCCACCGTCATGCCCATCCAGACTGGCGCCAACCTTCTAGGCCCCTTCGACCGAGCACTCCCCCGAACCCCATTACAAGCCGAAACCCTGATCCCTAATCCCCTAAACCCTAAACCCTGATCACTAATCCCTAATATCCCCTAAACCCCTAAACGGAGTCTGTGGGGACTGAGGCAACATGTTCTGGCAAACCACCTTGGGCATGAAGTACTACAACAAGAGCATCTCTGGCTGGCACGTTCGGAAGCTGGGGGGTTGAAGATATAGGGTTTCGAAGCGCAGGGCTGTAGTAGGGTTAAATCTAAAGCCCACACCCTCAACCCTAAACCATAAACCCTAAACCCTAACCCCGACCCAGGCATGCGTGTGGGCACCCTCGTACTTGTCTTCGCCGTGGCGGAGCTCGGAGAGATCGGGCCCAACGAGCCAGATCTGCCTGTCCTTTGGTTTAAGGGTTTAGGGTCTAGGGTTTGGGGTTTAGGGTTTAAGGGTTTAGGGTTTAGGGCTTAGGTTAAGCTTTTTGTGTTAAAGGTTATCGGGTTGCTTATGTGGTTTGGAAGGAATCAGTACAGGGTTTAACGGGGTTTGTGGGTACGTTCGAGGGTTGACTTCGGCCTAGAGGGGTGTGGGGTTTCTGGGCTCAGAGTGTCTCGCGGCGTTTTAGAAGTTTGTAAACTTGTTGCGGTAGTTTAAGCTTCATCGATTTTCCGTTTCGGGTACTTTAGAACTTAGGCTTGAGGCCTGACCCTAAGCCCTAAACCCTACATCGAGAGAGCCCAGGTGTTGGAGCTGATGTCCGACCCTATGGCTATTGCTTGGATGGCCTTTCTGGGTATCAGCACCTTGGTGGCCATCTATGCCACCTACAAAACTTACGGCCGGCCAATAGACTCGACTTCCAAACTCTGCAGCTTCGTGTCTGTTGTGACCCTGACAACCGTCATCGGAGCCTCCGTTGGGAAATGCTTCTTGAAAGTGAAGGGTGCTGCCTTTGCCTTAGTGGTCTGCCTCTACTTCTTGGACGGCATCTTCTGTATGGCCTTCACGGTGCTAGCGAACGCACAGTGCGATGTGGCTATTTTCATTCCTGCGCAGCTCTCTTCTCAACTTGTGCTGAACATGCTGACAGGCTACCTCGTCTGGGGGGATGGCGCGTATGTGGAGCACACCACATCATACCTTCTCGTTTCTATTCGGATCTTGATTACCGTTCTTTGCTTTGGTAGAGTTTAACCTTCATGAGCAAAAGCTGCTTTTTACAGTAGTACTAACGGGGTGGTAACATGCACATGCGAATATGGTTTGGAATACCAACTTCGTAGCAATAAGAAGAGTTTGATAATGATGATCGTGAAGATGCTAATCAGAATCATAATCAGATCGGTCTCCAAAGAGCACCCGACACCCCAAACCTCAAGCCCTCAACCCTGAACAGGGTTTAGGGTGTAGGGTTCTCCTTGACCCTAATCCCTAAAGTGTAAACAGCGCAGGTTTATGCTCTGTGCATCTGCGGTGTCTACCTCAACAGCGACATGGACATCATTGGAGACTGGACCAGATCCTACAGCATCCGGAGCTCCATGTTGTTGGAGGCTTAGTGGTCTTTACAGACCCTCAACCCCGCTGGTCTTTTTATAGGTTCCATCAGAGAAGCTGAAATGCCCAGTAGAGGTTCCACAAACCCCTTACCCAAGCCCAACCTGAAACCCTGCGCCCTAAATCCTAAACCCTGAGTTGCCGATTACAAGCCTAACGATCCTCAAACCAGTATAACATAGGGATACTTCTTGTGTGTGTATATATATATACGTATATATATATATATAGGGCGAGCACATAAACATACATACATGAACACGCATAACACTGAAATAAAATCTACACCATAAAATCCCCTACAGAGCTCTTCAAAACCACGAATTAAAACGCTCTATTCACATATCCGGGCTACCGTTTTTCCATCCCTAAAAGCGCGCGCCGCTGCTCGCTCAGGTCGGAGGGTCGGGCTTACAGCCGCTTCGGCCATGCTGTGCTTGCCTTGCTCCTTTGTCCACAACAGGGTTTAGGGTTTAGGTTTTCATGGCTTTAGGGTTTAGGGCTTTAGAGCGTATGGTTGTTCTTTAATGTTTCAGGGTTCAGGGCCGGTTGGGGTTCATATGGTTTTCCGCTGGTTCTGCTCACCCCACCCCCCCGCAAGTACAAGTGCCTGCAGACTTCAGCGTGAAAAGAAGGGTATAGGGGTTTAGGGTTTAGGGTGACGCTGTGCAGGACAAGGAGGGAAGACCGCAGAGCCACCGAAAAGTGGCGGGGGAGCGCACGCACGGATGGAGAACCCGTCCTGTTCCACAGTGGCGAGAGGGGATATCCCGTTCCACACGGGCGAGGGGTCGCATAGTTGACCGCTTCAAATGTTATGATTTTTGAATGTATATGTACATGATACAAACGCCGGGGAGGGGGGCACCAAAACCATATACTAATACAGGGTCTTTGGGGTTTAGGGATTTCAGGGTTTGTGGGGGCTTAGGTTGTAAGGGTTTGTGGTTTGTGCTGCTTAAGGTTTCAGGTTTCGAGATTTGGGATTGGCCAGCACCGTGGTCATCAGCAATGTTACTACGGGCTTGCTTCGTGTCATGGTGACGGTCATTCGTGAGTTTTCGCTTTCTGCAACTGTTCCCCCAAATGACATGTGCCTGTGCCGGTGGTGGGAGGGGGGCCAAGCGGATCGTAGTTTCGGAATTTGAGTTTGATTCGACTAGACAACTTTGGGAGGCAATCTTGGTCTGGGGGTCTGTGCCTGGGCATGCGACCTATGCACGTCTGAAGTGAGTAAACCGGACAAGAGCACCCAGACTCGTATCCACGACAGCCCTAAACCCTGCACCACCGTCCAAGAAGATGGACATGTAAACTTGTACTTCGTGGCCAGAATATATATATATATGTATATATATATATCACGCTGTATATCATGAGCCTGCATCGCATCAAAGAAGTGTAACCCTAAACCCTAAACCCTAAAGTTTACGACTTGAACGTCGCAAAGCCCTCCAACCTAGACCCGGATCGGGAGTCCAAGGTGCGCAGTACCTTCGCTTTAACAAAATCCTAAGCCCCAATGACGCCCAACCCTAAAACAACCTAAACCCTAAACCCTAAAGAACCCAGACCCTATACGCTACCTAAACCCAAGATCGCCTAAACCCTAAACCCTAAGCAACTTAAAACCCTAACAAGAAGCATGTCATTGAGAAATTCAAAAAAAACAAAAAAGACCCGGTCGTTCGACCCCGAAACACTCGGATCCTTCATAGAGAGGAGACCTTTCAGTGATAGGCTCAGCAGCTCGGGCGGAGCCGGAATTTGTAGAAATTCAAAAATCTTACAAAAACCGTTTAGAGCCTTTTCTGCGACAATGCTCTTATGAAGGCCCTACAAGCCGCGTAAATTCTTCACAAAAGCCTATACAACCTATTCCCCAACAAACCTTCATGAAGCCGGGACCCCGAAAAGAGAGTACCGTTAACTTGCCAGCCGTTCGGAGACCGAAGGCTGGGCACCTGGCAGCGTGGTCCCACTGCCGACAGCCAGGAACCTTCTGTCATGTTCAGACTGCTTAATTCCTTGGCTAGGCTTATGGGTTGTGTATTGGATGCTCTGTGTGTGTGTGTATGTGTTTTTCTTTTTTTTGTTGTTGGGGGGGGAAGGGGTTTTCAGACTGCTGGGTGAGGTTTAGGTTTCTGGAAGAGTTCCAGGCAGGGAATTGTGGGCTTGCCAGAATTTGCGAATCGGAGTCCGGAAGGACTCTCCGACATTATCCCGTCTCCTTCATCACCTCTTGGGGGCAACAAATTTAGGGTGTAGGGTTTAGGGTTTAGGAAGGGTTCCTT